TAATTGTATTATGCCTGTTTACAGCATTGCTACTATATCTGGGTTTCCCCCCTCCCCACATTTGTTCACCACATTAGCCTTCCCAGTTGGTTTTGTGGGACATGACGTAGCCCTATTTTGTGTGTTCGCTTTGTCATTTTATGAACATGTGTTGCCCCTGGAGAACCCATCTAGTCCAGCTGTTTGTAGAGTAGTTGACCCTCGAGGGAAGCAGGAGCAGATCATAGGCATTACCCGTGATCCATAAATGCAGAGCTGACACATTTAGGCTCTGGCCCTGGGCTCACCCAAGGAATTACCACATCAGGGTCTGGTATTCAACTAACGTTCGGACAGTGGCATTTCTGATCTTATAAACTGGAAATTTGTCTGTCATGCACTTCATTATCTCTACTGCTGTACAGCTCTTTTATGCTTTGATTCAGTAAAGCCCCATCAGGCTTTTGCCGGGGGCCCTAAATATAGCCGGGCAATGAATATGGTCTCATGGCTGAACGGAGTTTCTGGGACCTTCCCATAAGTGATCTTCATCTGCATGGTGGCACTTTGTGTCACCAAGTGTTTATTGCTTTGTGTGATGTCCTAGTGGGGTACAACTTGCATACAGATCTTATGTCTTTTTGCTCTGTTTATACAGTCAAGTCCACTCAAGTCGAACTTTCAATGGATGAATTTCACTTAAGTGGACACGATCAGCTCAGCTGGTCATTTTTCTTCATCTTTGTATCAAAAATTGGGTTAACTCGAATATAAAATTAAATTCTGTATGTGTGTGCACTATCAAGGTTGTCCCTCTTTCTGCCAATGGCTAATTTGTTGAGTATAAAATTCATTCACATTACATGTTTTGTGTAAAATTGTTTTCACAAATAATTTAGTCTGCTAGATATTTATTTATATATTAAACTTGCTCAGTCATGAGAAAACAGCCTGCTTTTGCTTTCATTATTAATCAAAATCTGTTTTACTTGCTAGCAATTTGTTTTGAAGAAGGCGGGGGGAAAATATGTTCCAGTGTTGTCTTCAAGCCAGGTATTTAAGTAAAGTACAGGGCCCTTTATGCATACTGGACACATAGGGTAAACCTATATATAGGTTTTATAGACCAATCGACACTCTGTGGGTAAGGTGGTAAACATCACACTGGCCACCTTTACCTCCCAGGATTGGACCTGGTACCAACTTAACACTTTCATTCCCAAAGAACACACCATGTATGACTGGTTTTACTCATAACCCCAGTTAACATATTTTGTTTGTACATTTTATATTTAGTCCAGACATGCTAGAACACTTAACACATTTATCTCCCACAGTGGATGTGTATTTGGGCTCTGTGGATGTAGTACGCAACTCACAAGGGCATCAGCTATGACCTTCTGGGATGTAAAGAGTTAAGGTTGGGTCGATTTCGGGGTCAGGGTAATTTTTGAAAAACAAAGCCTGATCTGCATGCGAGAATCTAGCCGCTACACTACTGCGGCTCCCGAACATGTATTATGTTGTTAAATCTCACACTGTGGGAACACTAGCAGCTCCACTTTACGTTCATGCCCAGGTAATCTGATTATCTATATAGATGGTTAAGTGTTGAGAGAAGAGAAGTACCTGGGGGGGGGGGGGGGGGTTTGTAGCGCAAGCCAGCCTTGCATGTGGCATCACATCTAGCATGAGAATGGAGGTGGAGGCGATAACTGCACCTCTCCGGTGGTTTGAGAACAAGAAGATTATGCATGTTGTAATTGTAAGACTGAAGGCATGCTGAGAAAGGTGAAGACAGGGATGCTTCGAGCAGAGTAGCAAGCTCCACTTGAAGTGAGCACACTTTGGATCTTTTCTCCAGGCCATGCCAGCGTAGTGGGTAATGAACAAGCAGACATATTGGCTGGATCTGCACCACTGGGTGGTAAATTGATACATGACAAGGCAAATGTGGTCGGCACCCGTCTGGGAAAAAGCGAACAGAATCAGTAGAGAAACAAGATTATAGCCTGGAGAGAATGAGCCACCAGGGTGTAACCAGAGGGTCTGGCTGGCTCACTACACTCAGAGAAAAGGCTAGACAGAAATAAAACCAGATGGTGACTGGTAACATCAGTATTGGAACTCTATGCTGGCTGCTGAAGATGAGGACGGAGGACACAGAGGAATGTCATGAGTGCTGTGAAGTCAATTCTCAACTAAACTTCATGTTGAAAGCATGCCATGCTAAATAAACCTGTGCCAATCTTCTTATCTAGTCCTGTATTGTATTTCAGAGTTTTGTTTTGAATCAGCATTGGAAATAGAGAGCCTTAGTATGTTCTGCGTAGATACTAGTATTTACGGCCTCGGATATTCCATCTATCCATCGCTTGCATACTCAACCTCTGGCACTGCTTCTATTATATATCTAAGTGACAGTGCTCTCTGTGATGCACTGCCTGCTAGTAGTCTTAAAATCATGCCAAAACCATTTGATTTGTTGTCTCTTGTAGAGAGGTACATAATGAAGATATAATTGCTACACTGTTACAGGAGTGCAAAGTTAACTGTTCATAACCCTAGCAATGATATCACATCAGCTGCCCTGTACTATGGCTGTAAATAAGAATTCTTGTAAACTCTGGTAGAAAGTTCTGGTTGTTTGTGCACTTGTCTTGTTCCAGAACAGTTTTTGCATGCACAAACATTTCACATATCTGGCTTATTTGCACCCAGATTTATTCTCAGACGGATGCACTCTTGACTCTGAAGAAAACATCCCTCAGTCAGGCGACGGTGAGCGTATTTTTTTTCCCCACAATAGGGGCCCGGAACACACACACGTGACAAAATGAACAACCATTGTTGAGTCTTGAAATTCATGCTGTGTTGTCTTGTCTATCCAGTCTTCTTTTAGTCTTGAGTTTCTGTCATTCATGACACAATCTTCTTCTGCTGCCTACCTCTCAGTGGAGCATAAGCTCTCAACCAACTCACACCAAGCCATTCTATCCTTCGCTGTCGCATGTAACTTTCCCCATTTTCTTTAACTTTACTCTCTAGCTCCCTTTTCTGTGTTTTTTGGTTATTATAGACGATCTAAGACAGGGCTATTTACATACTAGGCTTACCCAGGGAATAAAATGTTGAAAATAGGGATGGTACTATCCAGAGAAGCGAGCCCACGCCTAGAAAGATCATTAAAACATTGCACCTAGTAATCTTTTGTTCACATTAAATAAATTATCTATATCTGCAATGCGGTCTCTTGTATAAACTTCACAGCCTTTTGTAATTCCCTAAGCGGCCCGTAAAGTTTGACTTCCACAAGCTTTGTCAGAAGTTTTTCATGGAAGCATTGAATCTGGGACAGTCTTGGAGGATGTGATCTGCTGTCTCAGGTGCCAGTCCACAGGTACACATGGCTGATTCGCCAATCTTAAATTTTTTTGAACATGTGGCAGCAAAGTCGATTGTGTTCTGTTCTAAGGCGAAAGACAATGGCTTGCTCTAGTCTGCCCATAATATGGTAATCGTCTTGTGCCAGTTTCGGTTGTATTTTGATTAATTTGATTATTCTCTTCTTCTGATAAGAGACTGATATGTCGGGTTGTTCTCCAGTTGCACCTTCCTTAGCTAGTTTATCAGCTCTTTCGATTCCGGGAACTCCACAGTGGGAAGGGATCTACTGCATTACTAAATTACAGTTGCCTAGTTCGGATAATAGTGTCCGTATACTTGGTAATTTTTCAGACTGGAGTGCCTGAAGTATCGCTTTTGCATTTGTCAGGAATACCACTGGTTGTGAAAAATACCCTGTATTTAGTAGTTTCTCTACCGCTATCTTGATGGCTTGAACTTCTGCATAGTTGTGACAGTGCTTTCCTGTTGGTATTTTAGCTGTTTCCCTGGTATTATTAGGATACTCAATGTACACTCCTGCACCTCCGTTTCTGCTGACCCATTTGTGTAAACACGGACCCAAAGATTCTGCGGGTATTCATCATCAACCGGGAACACCCAGCAATGATCCACAGGTCTGGTTTAGGTAGCAATCTGCCAGTAGAATAGCTCCCATTTAAGATATTCCATGCTCTGTCACTGCCCTGCATCTTCTCTTGATTTTTCCAGATCTTTCTTAGGATGTGAGCAAGTGTAGTCAGTTCTTTAATACCCGCATGGGTCCTGAGGATGGACCTGCTAGAACTGCGCTTAGTTATGTGGCCAACATCATGCTGGCTGCCTTTACCCCCATATCTATGTGGTACTATTTGAGGCCGGGAGCCAAGGTCCCCGTTTTCTTAAGTCAAGACCTGAACCCATGACCTTCAGATCCGCAGGTGAACATCTAGCTGCTACACCACAAAGATACCTCTTCACTGCTTGTACCTGGCATATTTATGATGGTAAATCAGTCAACCACTGAAGTTACATATGGAATCTGCAGAGATGTGATTTTGCATAATGGACAAATAAAGTGTAGTTGAAATGTCTTGGAAGGAAATTTCTGGGGAGAGAAATGTTTACCCTAATCAAAAGGTACATTTTTTTTTCACATCAGGAGAAGCTCAACACTGGGAGAAGATGCCAGACAGTTCAGTTTCATGGCAAAATGACTAAGCATATACAAGTCCAAAGGCTATAGGAATATAACAGATGATAAAAATGTTTAAGTCATTATGATGTAGCATGCTCTCTAGTATTACTTAATTCTGACATTCAAGTCATTACTACCAGAATTAGTTAAAGAAGGACAATATAAGGAGGGTATGCAGGGAGCTGCCCAATGACAGCAAAGGCTAGGAATTTAATAGGATAACTTAGCATGAGTGCCAAAAGTCTAATCCTATGACAAGAAAAATAATTCTCACATCGTTACTGATCAAGCTTTTTTGAATAACTTACCATTAAAAGAACACATCATACTTCTACATGTGACATGCATATATATACACTTTACATAGTGCAGGCATAACTGCCCATATAATTGACAACACCGTCACATTTCCTCACAATTTTATTATTACTGCCATCAATTACTTCTTCTTGGCTACACCAACAGTTCTTCCTCTCCTGCCGGTGGTCTTTGTATGCTGACCTCTGACACGGAGGCTGAAAGAACAAATATTCAACAGTTAGTCCTCTTCCAAGGTTTTATATATACTCAATAAACACTCACATAAATTAGGTATGAGCCAAACAGCTCTCTGCCAGTGCCTTCGTGCTGAACAGACTCCAGAACATGTCCTGCAAGACTGTCCTCTCCTGGCGGAGCGACATATGGCAACACCCAGTAGAACTGACAACTAAGCTTTGGGAAAACCTAAGAGACCTTGAAAAGACATCCCAGTTTATGACCCACAGTGGATTATGCGCATGACCAGAGATCGCTGAAGAAGAAGATATATATAGTAGGCTGTTACATCATGCCTTTAAAATATCTTTTCATTTTAGAGAGCAAGAACCATAACCTTAGTATCTCAGTCAACAACCAGTGTGATAAGAGGAAGTACCAAAAAAAAACGTACGCTAAGTAACGTTCCTCACACAATTCAAGTCCTTTCTGTATCATCATCATCAGGTGCCTTGTCGACTGGCGTGGGTGATCATGCCTCTCCAAAATCTGCGATCTCCTGCAGCATGTATCAGTTCGTGTGCCTACACACCTTCATGCTAATGGTGGCAGCATGTTGAAGCACCAACAAGAAATCCTAAGTTGATATTCTGACAGCTTGCATCTTACCTGTAGCAACATGGACTTACTCCTAGTCCTTAATGACAAAATTAGTGCCTTTGAGCTGAAATGCTAGATTCTCTGAATGCCATGGACACAAAAAAATACAAACCAAAACATTGACCATTAAGGAAGACTGGCTAAGAAACTACGCCTCGTCTCAAAAGCTGATACGTGCCATGGCAGATTGAAAAAAAAATAGCAGACGGCATAGTACAGGAAAGGAATATGAGCCACGGATGTTACTCCTTGGGTATGAAAGGGCACAAGGCAGACAGATAGCGAGAGACCAGTGTTTTATTTTCAGGCAGACTGTGGCAACGCTCTGCACAAGACCTGCTACATGATGAAGAATGGTGGCAACAAGTAGACCTTGATCCATACTTCTTTGTCAGCTCTAGTGCCCCATATTGTGGGTGGGGCCCTACTGCCCCCAACCCAAGCATGCCACATAAAATCAGATTAGCATCATTTAAAAGACAACAGTGCTTCACAGTTGTAGCCTTGGAAATTCCATTAACCCAATGCTGGTAACAAACGTTTCTTTAAAAAAAATGAATTTATTATGTGAACATTTTTAAGGCTCCCCTTTTTAATTCCCTATATGAAGTTCAATCCACAATCACATGATGCACAATTAAGTGGAAGCTGCCCAACTGACATTAGGCAATTTTTTTTCGCAACAGCTAACCGTAGAAAAATATTAGACGGTACATGCAACTTTATTATTCATGCGGGTGATTTAAATGCGCCTGTTTACATCGGCCAACACATCTACCTCCTTAGGCATTTGTTATCCGGGTTAGCCTTTCTGATAAGTTTCGTGGCACGTACGCAGTCTCATGTTTAATTATACCCTGATTGACAGGTGTTGTACCTAGAGGAACTGGCCAGGGCAGCTTAGTGCAGCTTCGCTAAACAAGGATGCGTCCATCAGCCAGTGACCCAAATCAGGACAACGCAGCTAACACGGCCAAACTTCCCTTAAATAACTTACCCCCAGTAGTGTCTCAGACCCCTGTGAGCACGAATCTTCTTCAGGCGCTCCAGATCCTCACGCAGCTTGTTGTCCAGTCCGTTACTGAGCACCTGGGTGAAGCGGCCATCCTTGATATCCTTCTGTCTATTGAGAAACCAGTCGGGAATCTTGTACTGGCGAGGGTTGGTCATCACTGTCACGATGCGTTCAACCTACAGCAAGAAAAAATATCCATGGGTTAACAGTATACCACACATAAAATTAAATAGAGATTTAGACTAAAAACTTTGCAATCAGACTACAGTACATTTGTATCATATGCTATGTCCCTCTGTGGGTTCCGGGGCCCTATATATGTGGGGGGAGTGTAATTTTGTGATTCTGTGAATGGCATACCAACTAGTTCTATGCCTTTAGAGGTATTCGCTGATTTATATATCATAGAAATTTTATGTCTTAGAAAAACAATGACTAAAAGTGGGTCATAAAAGTAGTCGGCACAGAACCGACACTAACTTTTTAAAAAAAACAGCTAGCAAAATGTTTCGCTCATTCAGATAGGGTGCCTCCTGATGACAAACCATACAAGGCATATATCTTTTTCTTCTTCTTCTGCCTTTCTATCCCCCAACGGAGCATAGGCCCTCAACCAACTCACAAGTCGTTCTATCCTTTGCCATTGCATGGAGCTCTCCCCATGTCCTCCCAATCTTTCTAACCTCATTCTCCAGCTCTCTTCTCCATGTGTTTTTTAGCCTTCCTTTATTCCTATGCCCCTGTGGGTTCCAATGCAAAGACATTCTAGTTATGCTGTTCTCCTGTTTTCTCAGTGTGTGCCCTATCCAACGCCAGCGTCTTTTCCTCACCTTCTGATCCTCTGGAGCCTGTTTAGTTCTCTCCCAAAGTTCTACATTAGTTATTCTATCATACCATTTTATTCCATCTATTCTGCACAGGCACCAGTTAATGAATGTCTGTAATTTATACAAGGCATATATACCAAAGGAAAAAAGACGCCAAAAAAAGTGATATAACAACAAAAAACCGGCCCTTGTTATCTTATTCGACACTAAGTGTTTAACAAAAAAAGGGAGCAGGGGTGGTTCATAAAGAAGAAACAAGTGATGTCCCTTACTTTCACTTTCTCAGATACTGCTATTGTCTTTTTTTTTTATTCTCTACGCTAGGTAACATCTTGTAAATCCATGCACCAATGCTGGTAACAAACATGTAGTATTGTGCTATTCAGCTTCTACATGTTTACGTACAACTATAAAAGAACTGACCTCTTCCTCACTCAGTTCACCTGCCCTCTTGCGAATATCAACATTGGCCTTCTTGCATACAACTGTAGCGAACCTGCGACCCACACCCTAGAGAAAATAGCAAACAAACATTGTTAATTCTCACCATGTCCAATAATTTACAGAAATTATCATAATTATATGTGTCAAATGTGGCTCACATTCCATTCTTTTCCTCTGGTCCCTTCTATGCTGTGCAATCTTCCTGATGTCATGAATGGAAACCAGTTTAGCACATTCGGCCTATATCACTATACTTGGACTATAATGCAGTAGTCACCATTACTACATGCCAGTGTAAGTCTATGGGGAAATTTACATGCATTAGAAAACAAATGCCTCAGAAAAAGGAACTTTTAAAGTAGGATAAGTTAAGAATGAGGAAATATCTGGCTGGTTTAATCTATTTCTTGTGCATTAGACATCAGTCATGCTAAACATTGAGTCCAGTCTTGGTCACACAAAAAAGATTGCGCTTATGAAATTGCCACCGGTTCCCCCATAGCTTCTTTTTGCAATGTAGCCTTCTTGAGCCAGATTCAGTCTTTGCTGGGAGGAAGTTAGGGCGGTACTGCAGTATGTGCTCAGGGGTCTATTTCTGCTCGACAATCACAGGCAGCAAATTATGCCTATCCTGTGCAGGTGTGCTCAAAGACCAGTGTCCTGTCTGAAGTCTTAAAATTTGTCTCTCATGTTGAGTTTGTTTATGCTGTCACTCTCTGGTCTGTAATCTCCATTCTGACTTCTCCACTCCCGCTTGAAAGACTGCTTTAGCGCCATTTTGGTTTCCTTGTAGCTAGCTGTGTGGTGGATGAGCTTGTGTAAGATTACTCCCAGCTTTTACCAACTCTGCTCTCTCATTTCCTTGAAACTGGTATCATCTATAATAAGTTGCAGAAGATGGTGCTATACTGGACAAGAGAAGGACTGTTAGGAAAAGCCCCAGGTGCTGGACTGGATTCCATCCATGAAATAAAAGTAATTGCATAGAAATGAATGTAATGTGACTTACAATGACGGTGAAATAATAAATGTTTCTGGTAAATTAATACCTATCACAGCATCAAGCCTGCAACATGAACATGCATTACAAGCTGGTTGTAAGAAACCAACACATTAACCCTTTTTGAATACATCCCTTACAGCCACTATGAGGTAAGAACTGACAAGACATTACAGTACTAATCACACGCCTATAAGTACTCTTGTCCCCATCAGTAGCCTGCACAGGGGAAAAGGGAATTATATTGTGGTCCACGCTTGTAATGTCTTCGTTTTTCTCTTAATTGTCCCTGCTATTTGGCATTGGCAGTCATGTCTTACCTCAACCTTTTGTCTCATGCACTTGCAATAAATTCAGATGATCTTTCATGCCATATTCAAACTGTCCCCAGCATCTTCTCTCTGTCTCCCTCTTTTCTCCAACTTTCCCACCTTTATTATGCACCCCAGTTTTATCTCTCATGACATGACCAAAGAATGTAGAAATATCATGATTTAGGTGATAAGATCTCTTCCACTGCACTTCCCCTAAACTGGTCACTTGCGCAAACAATGCAGGTAACATCACTTTAGATTATATCCCTTTTAACTCTTCTCTGTGCAAATCAAATGTGTATTTCCTAATTCGCAGCAGGTTCTTTTGAGATTACAATTTTCAACCTACCAAATATTTAGACAGACCAAACTGCGCCAAGAGGATAGTTACTGTAGAGCAGCAACGCACGCAATACAACTGGCCACAGGAACAAGAAAACTTCTTAAACCTTCCTTGCAGACCTTGGAAGAAACTGAATCACTTTTGATATCGTTGTCAAATATTTTTTTTCTAGGGTGTAACTGGGTTTTCTGTGTTTACAGAATGTCTGCAATATTTCTGCCTTTTGGTCAACATATCATGTCTGTCATAAAATGTCCAGGTTAATTTTCCTAAATTTTATGGAATAAGAAAATATACTAATCACACCAGAATTTTATGCTTTTAATTGTTCACTTCTAGCAGTCAAGTCTTTCTTTTTCACCAGGTTGTAAACTCTAGCAGAAAGTTCGGCTCTCCTCCTAATTTCATCCCTATATTATGACGGCCAAACAAATACTCTAACAAGGCCTCAGTTGTGTGTAAAATGCGGACTTCCTATGACAAACACATCACGGCAAAACTATGACTGTCCGTTACTTTCAAGAAACCAACAACACAATAATAGCGACATGGCGGATAGACCTCGCGCCCCGATGCAGGTTAGCGATAGTAGTATTCCAATTAAACTCACCGCCCAGTGTGTCCACCGCGCCGTTGCATACAGCGCGGATTGGCGGCTAAACTAGATGACTGGGGCTCACACGCAGCAGCTACCGCATCTCCTGCAACTTTCTCCAAATTTTTGTGCCTGAGTACGAGCCATCTAGTTTTTCCCCCAAACCGCATCGCATAGCATACTGTCGGCGATGCGGTAAAGTCGCAGAAACAGGTCTGCAATTAACGTTTTTGTTCCTCGGCAGGCACTCACACACGACTTGAGGTCCTGTTAGGGTATTTGTTTAGCCGCCATAATATGGGGACAATGTTTGAAAGAGAGCCATAAGTTCTGGTTGTTTATCCACTTCTGGACTGCAGTCCTGTTCCAGAACATGAGTGTTGCATGTGCATCCATTTTACAGCTCTGACTCTGTATATGCAGACTGCTGGTTTCCTGCCTCTCAGGCAGATGCACCCCGACTTTGAAGGAAGCTCCTAATTAGTCAACTCTCACAACATGCTTTTGAGTAGGCTTGGGTCTATTCTTGTTTTTCCTATAATAGGGCTCCAGAACCCACACCGGTATAGCAGTGAAGTGTTACATGACTTACCCGAATGGAGGTAATGGCAAAGGATATTTTCCTCCTGCCATCGATGTTCGTGTTCATAACACGAAGAATGTGCTGGAATTTCTCTGGCAACACGAGTGACTGAAAAGTTCAACCAAACAAAAAAAAACTATGAAAAACAAGCAGCACTAAATTATTAACATAATTAAATCACCCAGACATTATTAGACAAATCAAAGTATCTGGAGATTCAGATAAAGAGAAAAAAAATTCCAATTAATGGAGAATCAGATGTCAGTAAGAGACTGCAATAAAATTAAAAATAAGTGGAAAAAATATTTTAGCAACAGTAAATAAAGGCAAAGGGGAAGTGAGCCAAGGCGATACAAATGAGAGGATAATAGATGATTTTGGTAAACGGCAGCCTGTGCAACCAAGATCTGATCGTTGGAGGTCAATTGCAACCAATCTTGATTGGGAATTTGACACCTGAGGGAAATCATGCACAATGTTGCGAAATTACAAATCAGAGTTTCTACCTGAGAATAGAAAAATTATCACAATACAATGGATCATCAATACACGGAACTGATAATTAAGAAGCATTATGGTCTTGGAAAATGCAAGAATGACCATAATATCAGATGTGATGTAGGCGTAAGGGGGGGGGGGGAGTAGGAAATACTGCATAATTGTCTGTTCTGCAAGCTCTTTGGAGGTTACGGTGGTCAAAGGATAGACACTGGGAATGACACTGACAGAATATGCAGAAATCCCATCGCAACAAGCGACTGGGTGACACTCCACATTCTGTAACCTATGATGTGATGCACAAGTTCTCGCTCTCAGTCCAAGAAAAGTTAATAATGGGCCTGCGTGCCCAAATTTTAACGCTAATTCACCCTGCAATGTGGTGTTGGGTTTAACTTAGTTTAAGCGAAGACCCGACATTTATAAAAGATTATGATTAAAATCAGAAAATATCAGTGATAAAAAAATAAATCATTTGTTTATATTGCTAAACTTACCACAAGTACTCAAAATTACTGCGTGGAAATACATATTCAGTATCCTTTAAAATCTTAACTAAATGATTATTGTAATGGAATGTATTCATAACAGTTAACACTGGCAACTATTTGAGGGACAGGGCTAAAAAAAAAATCCACTGCATTTTCTAAAAATAAATATGAATTTCAGGAAAATAATCACTCCATCGCAAAATAAATTATTAAACATATACAAAATAAATCCCTAATTGAACAGATTGCCCGATTGCTAAATGCTCCTTCTCATCCACCACAACCTACCATTTTCGCTGTCAACGGTTAAAAAGGAAGTGGAGGATGCAAAACCGGAAGAACATACAGAGTTATGGGCCTGGACTGAACAGTTCTCTGGATAGAAACTCTTCCTGCCTTTATTTCTTTCATCTGCATCTTCTTTCTATTCGTCCGAGTAACGTGATTGCGTTGTGCCTGTTTACAGCAAAGCTGCGATTTTCGGCTGACACATTCAACTTCATCAAATATTTGTTTACTGGGGTATCTGGCTCTAAGAGTGCTAATTGGTACTTGTACAAGTATTTTTTTTCCAGAAGAAAATTATGTCAAGTATCAGCCTACAGAGCATTTGAAAGAGCGTACAGAAGATTCCATCTCCCCTCAATCAAAAACTTACCTGGCACAGGTAATTAACCTTTACGTCCTTTTTAGGATGAAATTTGTTGTTATTTTAAGCCCCATCCTGGCTTTTGCCAGGGACCGCAATATAGGCAGGCCATAAATATGGCCAATTGTCTGAACGCGGTTTCTGGGACCTCTCCACGGTGATCCTCATCCACATGGTGGCAGTTTGTGTCATCGAGTGTTTATCGCTTGTGTGATGTCCTGGTGGGGTGGAAAGTCAGTCATCTTCCCTCAAAATAGTTCCACCCGGCTGTAGTCGGGACCCTAATATAACCTAACTGTTAAACAGCGTTTCTGGGACTTGTACCCGGGTGATCCTCATCCGAATAATGGCACTTTGTGCCACCGCGTGTTTATCGCTCTTGTGCGGTCTTGGTGGGGTTGAACGTCAATCTTATGTGCTAACTGAAAAGAGAGGGGTAAAAAAAAAAACACAAGAAGCATTTATTCAATAAGCACTCCCAGAACAACATCAGTTGAAGCACTAGAAGTAGCAGTGGGAATAACTCTATTCTCCTCTATATTATCGAAAAAGAAAAGCATTCTTTGTATCCCAATTATAACACAGGTGTGTTGAATGGAATATTGTTGATTAAACTATTACTACTAGAAAAAAAAAAGGAGCAATTTGTACACTTTTCTTCGGCGTTATGCTAAGGATAACGCATCATTGATAATATCCTTTTGGTCGTCAAACTTTTGTCGGATTGTAAGCTAGAATTCATGTATTTGTCTTGCCTTTTTCGGATGCCTTAAGTGATGGATTTGTTATCTTTTTGCAGGATTTTGCTATCTATACATATCTTCATTGGTCCTCCTTTCGAGTTCCGCTCAGATGCTGTACTGAAGAAGGCCTCATTTGCGTTTTGGGCCGCATTCTCACTAGATGACCAAATCTCTTCAATATTTAGTTTGTGAATATTATTGCACCATTTTCAAATATTTATTTTTCATCGTTCGTCGGAGTGACGTAACTATGTTGTACTTGGGCATTTGTTCACCCGGTTAGCCTTCCCAGTTTGTTTCGTGGGGCGGCAATCCTATTTGTGTGGTGTCCCCAGTCCTGCACCTACAGGTGTTGCCCCTGGAGAACTCTTCCAGGGCAACTGCATGTAGATTAGAATTCACAACGGCAGATCATTAGAATTCCCAGCTATCCAAGGAGGCTTCCATAAATGCAGAGCTGACCAATGACACTCTGGTCCTTGGTTCACCCAGGCAATCGTCACGTCCTGCACATGACTGCTCAACCTCACATCCCTATTTCCCGTTTGGGTTACGGGGCACGATTGGGGGTGGGGGGGGGGGGGGTAAAAGAACAGAAGCATGTCGCAGGAGTCAACTAACTGGGAACTTCCTTCGACGTCGGAGTGCATTTGGCAAGAAACAACCAACTGCACACAAATAAGACAGTTAAATGGATGTTCACACAAAACGTAGGTCCTGGCACAAAGCAAGAGTCCAAAAGTGACGAATAACCAGGACTTTCCGCCGGAGCTTACAGCCGGTGAACAAAGAAGAAGACATCCGTATATTGAGCTTTTCTCTCTTCAAGGGCTGCACCCTTTGGAGACACGTAAGACACCTTAAATATTCTTGTACTTTGCTACTTAACGCGACGATATAAGAAAAGCATGCATTAGACATGACTTCCTCATTTGGTTCCGACACTCCGACGAATGGGGACCAATGTTAGCGGACATTGGGACCTTATCTGTCACACAATCGGACATTTGGCTGTCGGATTTCGGAACCTAACTTGTCATTCTGTAAGATATTAGAATGTTGAATAAAGAATCATGTAAGATATTCAATGGTCGGACATGTCAAAATGTTCTGCAATGCATAGGCTCTGACATACAGACATTTGACCCTGGTCAGAAGTTCAAATGGATTTTTCGGTCGACAGACATCTGAATCAAGGTTTCTCATATACCAGGTTTCACTCATGTTCCAAATGAATTTTCGATTAACGTTTTCAAACATGCTCTGTGAGTGGGCTGATTGGGGTCAGATAATTTCTGGACACTGCTTCTATGGGGGCCACCAACTCTGAGAATCCTGGCAGCGCGATTAAGGCCCATATGAACCTTTATCACAGCAAACGACAAGGGCGTGTGGTGGATATCTTGCATGGGGCTCTTTAAAATCAGCACAGAGCCTGTTGGTGCCTGAGGTGGAGAATAGAGTACCTCCTTATACATTTCACAACGACATTTACTTTCCCTCACGTCTGAAACCGAAATCGCCGCGCTACATTATCCAATCCAATAGAAGGCAAGATCTGCTTTGTCATATCTTACTACCAAAAAGGACAGCAATTGATCTATCAGCTGCCGCTACCAAGCCAACCTGAATTTTCCGGACAGAAAATCCATATTTATCTATACACACACACACTCACACACACACACACACACGCACACACACACACACACTTATATTATCAAGTGATGCAAGCGACTCTACGCACTGGACGCCAGTTTTAATTTTCCGAAGATACTCTATGAGTCCGTTACAATTGCAAAATGTTGGACTGTGCTACTCGTATGCTGTCGTAAAGCTGTCGTCACCGCCTTCACCTCAATTCTCAAACCCAATGTTGTGATGTTGTAGGCGAGGCTTTCTGTTTTCAAATAGTGTACATTTGCTTTTGAAATAAAATCCCACCCAAAGTGTGACATTTGCTTGTGCTATCCAAGAGCCACTTTTTTTTAGCAGATGTCTCTTGGTGTCCCATAAAGTCTCATGCAGAAGCTGTCCCCTGTCCGTTGCGACTTTGAGGTACATTTTCACATGTCGGGATATGCCAGTTCGTTGGGAAAGGAACAGGCAGACAGACTGGCCGGCTCTGCACAACTTGGTGGAATACTGATACATGATAAGGCAGACGTGGTTAGTGCCTTGTGGGAGAGCGTGTACATCTCGGAGGAGCAGATGGATCAGCACAGCCTGGTGAGATTGATGCAGCAGGTAGTGACGAAAGATTCTGGCAGATGCTCGAGGCTCAGAGGAAAGGCAAGACGGACGTTTAATCAGAATGCTACTGGCACCATTAGTATCGGAACTCTACACTGGCTGCTGAAGATGGGGACGGAATGTCTTGAATGCTGTGATATCGGTTCTTGATTCAACTCAACTCAACTCATGTACATCATAAAATGATTCTCATGGCTTCATTTTTTCATGCGTTCCAGGTTCTCAATTTGGTCGTGAGATAAGAATAGCAAGGGAGCCGTCGTGGTGTAGTGGTTAGGCGATCACCTTCGGATGTGAAGGTCATGGGTTCACGTCCTGATAAAGGAGAACTTTTTTTTTTCTTAAATGATGTTGGCTGTCAAGTTGACACAGCCTAAATAAAATGCTGGTGAAATCATGGGAAGTAAAAACCGTCGCCATGATGTTCACCACATTACCCACATGTATCGATTGAGCTACACAACGTAGAGCTTGCCCTGTATGCCCAATAAGCCTGAAGGCTTGGAAAAGGATCCTTTATTTACTTACTTACCTAATATTAGCAGTCCCAACCGTACTCTACGACCGAAACAAATAACAATCAGTTGTTGGTTATTAGTTAACGATTTCTTAGGGAGCATTAGGGCTTTACTTGTTTCTTTGTTTAAAATTGGCCCCAGATCCCTAACGGGGAGCAGTTTCAGTTCAATATCTCAGATCTCACACAGGCAGCACTTTCAGTTCAATATTTCAGAATTCCATTTTATTCTTCTTCTTTTGTCAAAATCTGCTTGTGCCGCTAGGCGTCGCAGTCTATCAGATGATCGGCAACCGAGACAGGGCGCGCTCAGTCGCTTCATATGCCGTGATGTTATGAAGTCTCAAGTTGTCCGTGACTCCTTCAATCCATCTTCTTCTTGGTCTTCCCCTGCCTCTTGGTGTTTCGATTTTCATGTTGTATGCTCTTGATGCTGGCATCGTTGGTTCCATTCTCATTGGGTGACCAAACCATTTCATTCTTTGCTTCTCAATAAATTTAACGATGGGTATGGTTCCAATAGTTCTCACTCGATCTCTTCTGGTTTTATTCGCAGCCATTCTCAAACATCTCATTTCACAGGTGGTTAGTCTTCTCTCGTGTTCTTTTGTTAATGTCCAAGTCTGACATTGATAACCTAATGTCGGTATAAAGATTGTATTTATAATTTGTCTTTTTATCTCAGCTGGGACAGCAGGGTGTTTTAAAATTGGGGCAAGCTGGTATGCGACGTTGTTGGCTTGTTGGATTCTTGCTTCGATCTCTCTGTCTATTTTACCATTGAATGTAAAGATACTTCCCAAGTATTTAAATTCTTGCACTTGTTTTAGGCTGTGATCTAGAATCTTTATGTCGATGGTCTGTTGCTCTCTACTTATGCTCATGACTTCTGTCTTTTCAGTATTGATCTTCATATGATGCTTAAGGCAACTGTCGTGTAGTAGGTTTATGTGGTCTTGCAGCTGTTTACTATCACTGTGAAATATGCATTGATCGTCGGCAAAGAGCAGCTCATTGAAGTCCTCCTGTTTATCGACATCTGTTGGTGTTATGTCTATTTTATTAATATTGTCCATAAATATTATGAAAAGTAAAGGTGATAATACACAACCTTGTCTTACTCCTGATGTTACTGGGAACCAGTCTGTGATGCCAGCTCTTGTTCTAATGGCGCTTTCACTTTGTCTATAAATAGCCCTTATACAATCTAAAATTGTTCCATTTATACCGTAGTTTTCAAGAACTTTCCATAATAAATTTCTGTTTACTCTATCGAAAGCTTTTTCTTGATCTATGAAAGCGATGTTCATTTGATGTCTGTGTTCTATTGTCTTTTCGCTAACTTGTCTTAAAGCAAAAATAGCGTCAGCACACCCTCTTCCTTTCCTAAATCCGACCTGTGATGGGCTCAGGATCGGTTCTACAACGGATCTAATTCGTTGTTCCAGAATTTTGGCAAACATTTTTCCTACATGGCTTAGAAGGGAGATGCCTCTGTAATTTTTACAATCTTGCTTATTGCCTTTTCTTTTCCAAATTGGGACTATAAGGTCTCTTTGCCAGTCTATTGGTACAGTTCTTTCATTCCAGGCTTTCCTAAATATGTGGAGTAGCCAGGTGACTCCAATTTCTCCACAAGCCTGTATTGCCTCGGCTGATATTCCATCAACACCTGATGCCTTATTTTTGGGACTGCATCTGATTGCTTCTCTGACTTATTATATTGACATATTCAGATGGCTGGAATGGTTCATCTCTAGTTCTCATTTTTGCAATGGTTTTGTAAAACTGTCTACTAGATTTAGCACAGATTTTGGTAAGATTTTCCCCATACATGATCCAGGATGTTTCCTTGGATTGTTTAATTTCTCTTGCAGATTGTCGCCTGGCAATTTCGTACTTGATATAATCGTCATCTGAGCGGGATCTTAGCCATTTCTTGTATTGCTCCTTTTTTTTTTTTTTCATTTCACTGCTTGTTTTACGTTATCATTCCACAATGCTGTTTTTTTCCTGAACGTTCCTCCTGTGTATCTAATACCACAGAGTGTTGTTAGGCAGTTCAGAAGAGTGTTCTTAAATTTTTGCCACGCAGCTTCCACATTGTCACTTGGTGTTTTTAGCTCAGCCATCTTCGCTGTCATTTCTGCCTGTACTTTTGCTTGGGTGTCTTATGTCAATCATTGAGGTACGTACTGATGTTTTTGGTTTTTTGTTAATTGTTGCTTCGCTTAGATATACGATCAGCGGTCGATGGTCTGTATTTAAAGAGATGTTAGGAATTACTCTTGCGTCTTTTACTGAGCTTCTTCTCTTTTGTCGATTTAGTATGTAGTCCAACTGTGTGGCCTGGTCTGGGTTGCTCCATTTATACCAGGTGTTTATTTGGCTTTGTCAATGCTGATAGAAACTATTGGTGACATAAAGGCCATGCTCTGCACAAAATTCTAAAATACGCTGCCCATTGTAATTGCAGACTTTGCTGTTGTCTGAGTGTGGCCCGATATATTCCTCCCACGGTGTTCGCCTCTGCCCTATGTGCCCATTTAGGTCGCCTATTACCATAAGATCATCATTTGCGTGTATCTGACTGATGACACCCGACACTGAGTCAAAGAAGTTATCTTTCTCTTCCAAGGTGTAACCATCATTGGTGGGTGCGTATACCTGCACAATGCTTGTATTTCTTGTTTTCCCGTAGAGTTGCAATACTATAATCCTTTCTGATACATATTCTATATTCTTTACATGTTTAGCGATATCCGGATGGAGAATAAAACCGACTCCGCGAGTCGCTCTCTGCTCTTTCTTAACGCCGCTTCAAAATATGACATAGTTGTTATGAATTATTTTATTATTAATTATTATTGCTTGAAAAGATTCGGTACGTTGTCCGTGTCGATAGTCTGAGGATACAAACAAATATGGCCGATAATGTGGATGTGTCCAGCAAACTGGACGAAGTAAGAAAATAAGCGTTTATTTTATTATAAGAAAAACAATTTTAAGCATGAGATAAGAAGTACTTGATATAATAATTCACGAAAAATCAAATACATGCACGTTACAGTTTAATATACATTTAATTTATACTTTAACTTATTAATGAATTTAATGACATCCTACATTTTGGCTACTCTCTGAGTATAATATAACGGTCCTAAATTATCGAGGCTGAATATATACCCTAACAGAGCCTCAATCACATGTCAGTTGCGAACTTCCGGCGCCTTAAATTGCGCACTTAAGGCGACTTCCGCCACGGCCGAGAATATCTCTTTGGGGCTAAACTAGATGGCTGGGACTCACCAGCAGCAGCTACCACATCTTCTGCAGAGCTTCCTTCATTTTATTTGCTTGTGACTAGTGAGTCCCAGCCATCTAGTTTACTCTAGCCCCAATCCACGCCAAGATACTATCGTTGGAAGTCTGCAATTTACATGTGACTGAGGCCCTGTTAGGGAATATTTTTGGCCTCAATAATTTGGGACCGTAATTTTGTGTCACAGTTGACATTATTAACAATAAAATGGGGGGAAATTGAAAGGCCACACCCACAATATCCCACACTTACGCCCTTAGAAAACTGTCATCCACCTTCTCCCCTAAAACCCCTGGCCTTCAAATGTTTAGGAAAAAACTGTTTCTGCCGTCCTCTCTGCAGTTACCTAATTATTTTGTTTGTCCCTGTGACTGGAACAGCTTGTCCCTGTAACTGAAACAGTTTGTCCCTGTAACTGAAAAAGTTTGTCCCTGTACAACGTTGAAGGTGTCTAACGTAAGATGAAAAAGAATGTACCTATTTGTGTGGCCACAAACGTCCTAGACCTGCGGGCTGCTCCCCGCTGATCTCCGGAGAGCGCAGCCTTGTAGCGCGGGAAGCTCAATACACGGTTGTGAGGTTAAGCAGTCATGGGCAGGACGTGACGATTCCTTGGGTGAGCCCAGACCCAGAGCATCATGTGTCGGCTCTGCATTTATGGAAGCCTCCTTGGATGGCGTGGAATGCCCATGATCTGCCCCTGCCTTCCCTTGAGGGCTGAAAACTCTACATGGAGCTGCCTTAAGGACGACATGCCGGGGGCCACACTTGTTAAAAGTCAAAGAGGACACCACACAAATAAGGCAACATCTCGACCCACACAAAACAATGGCCACAGTCAACCTAGAAATAGGCTTGACGTCTTCCTCCGAAGTCGGAGTACATCTGCCGGAGAGGCGGGGAACGAGTACTGCAAACAAATAAGCCAGTAAAACGGATGTACACGCAAAACTCAGGTCAAGGTAAAAGCCAAAAGTCCATTTTGGACGAACAACCGTGACTTACCGCCAGAATTCACAGCCGGTGAACAAGAAGAAGAAGAAGAAGTTTGTCCCTGTAACTGGAACAGCTTGTCCCTGTAACTGAAACAGTTTGTCCCTGTAACTGGAACAGCTTGTCCCTGTAACTGAAACAGCTTGTCCCTGTAACTGAAACAGCTTGTCCCTGTAACTGAAACAGTTTGTCCCTGTAACTGAAACAGTTTGTCCCTGTAACTGAAACAGTTTGTCCCTGTAACTGAAACAGTTTGTCCCTGTAACTGGAACAGCTTGTCCCTGTAACTGAAACAGTTTGTCCCTGTAACTGAAACAGTTTGTCCCTGTAACTGAAACAGTTTGTCCCTGTAACTGAAACAGTTTGTCCCTGTAACTGGAACAGTTTGTCCCTGTAACTGAAACAGCTTGTCCCTGTAACTGAAACAGTTTGTCCCTGTAACTGAAACAGTTTGTCCCTGTAACTGAAACAGTTTGTCCCTGTAACTGGAACAGTTTGTCCCTGTAACTGGAACAGTTTGTCCCTGTAACTGAAACAGCTTGTCCCTGTAACTGAAACAGTTTGTCCCTGTAACTGAAACAGCTTGTCCCTGTAACTGAAACAGCTTGTCCCTGTAACTGAAACAGCTTGTCCCTGTAACTGGAACATCTTGTCCCTGTAACTGAAACAGTTTGTCCCTGTAACTGAAACAGCTTGTCCCTGTAACTGAAACAGTTTGTCCCTGTAACTGAAACAGTTTGTCCCTGTAACTGAAACAGTTTGTCCCTGTAACTGTGACTGTAAATGCTACAGGGATCTGCACCTTCGTACAAGGGGCGTTGGACTGCCAAGAGTAGACAACTCAGCAGCACTGGGCTTGAATGATCGAACCTCAAGTAATCAAACTTACTATCAATAATGAAACTATGGCATGGAGGGATATCATCAAGAGGCAACCAGGGATCGTGATCTGTGGAGATGCATGAGCGCCTACGCCACTTGGCAGGGCACATGATGTTGATGATGACTCAATAATCAAACTATGTTCACTGGTATTTTCAGAGCTCAACAGTTGAATCCTAGTTTAGCCATATCTTAGACTCATCAAGCAACAACAACCAGGGTTCTCTGTGTAGAAATGGTTAAGCTGTTTACCTTGCTCTCTGAAGGTCGTGGGTTCAATTCCCAGCTGTGTTGTAAGGTTCTCGAGGGCAGTTCATACAGAGACCGCTGGGGATCGTTATCGTATCTACCGCATTAGTGCTTTATGCTATGCTCTCTGCAGATGGCTAGCCATTCTGTGGTGAGAGACTGAGCCATATGGGATAAAATTTTGTGCAATGAAGTTGATCCTCTTGACTTTAACCTTTAACCTTTTCAGCAACAACAACAAGAACCCTTCCAGATGTATGTCACATATAGTAATGTGTTTTTACTGTACTCTTTTTCAGGGGCTGCCTGTAATTAATCTTCACCTGGGGGAGCTTGACTTTACGTCGGAGGATTTTTTACTGGATGAAGTGGATCGTAAGTTGTGTAGCAATGTATGTGAAGATGTCTGTGTAAACATTTCAGTAGGGTAGTAATCCAGACAAAAGAAATACCACAGAATTCAGTTAGCCATCATCCCTGTGAGGGTTTCAGGGTCCCATTTTGGGGGAAACAAGAATAGGCTCATTACCTCCGCAACATGCATATCATAAGAGTCAACTATTTGCTGACTTCCTATGAAGTCAGTGTATCTGCCTGAGAGGCAGGGAACCAACAATCTGCATACAAATCTTCTTCTTTTTCTTCTTCTTTGCGTTCAGTTTTGCATGCTTAGATCAGACCATCAGGTGGGTTGCCTCTATGAACTCACATGGCCGCTGCAGGTCCTGCATGGTTCCCCATAGCTTGCTCTGCACACTCTGCTCTTGAGCCAGGTGTCTTTTCGAAGTTGCAGGTAGAGTGGGCAGGTCTGCAGAATGTGCTGAGGTGTTTGTGGTCCTGTTTGACAGGCACACTGCGGGGACTGTACAATCTTTATTTTATGCATGTGGTAGTTGAGCCTGCAGTGTCCTGTTCGTAGATGGAAAATTGTTGTATGTTGCTTTCTGTTGAGTCTGCTGATGGGGTCTTGTGGATGTTTACAGTTAGTTTGTTCTCTCCACAATCCCTTGTATTTTCATTTGATAAGTGTTCTGATTTCTGGTAATGACAGTGAATGCATACAAATAAACCAGATCTGTTAAATGGAAATGCATTCAATACTTAGGTTCTAGAAAAAGAGTAAAGTTAGGATGTGGACAAATAACCATGACTTTTCACTGCAGTTTATAGAAGATGAACGTTAGGAAGAAGTTACACCCATTATGATGGATAATGCAGTATTGACTATGCTGACGGATTCAGACAAGTCGTTAATCCTAGCAGAACTACGTGATCTAGGAACCTGGACAGGCATATTAATGCTGTCTTTTCAGCCAGAAGCAGAGAACAACAGTAATGTTCTAGTTAGTTGTAATGACTTATATTACAAGATCCCCGTATGGGTTCCTAGGCCTCACTGTGGGAAAGACAAGAATAGACCCACTGCCTCCCAAAAAGTATGTAGTAAGAGTCAACGAATTGGGAGCTTTCTTCGAAATTGGAATACATCTGCCTGAGAGGCAAGGAATCAACAGTCTGCATACACATATGTCAGCCCTGTAAAAGGGATGTGGATGCAAGACTCAGTTTCTGGATCAGGCCTAGAGTCCAGATGTTGCCTAACAACCAGAACTTTCAGCTGGAGTTTACAGCTGGTGAACGCAAGGAAGAAGAAAAACAAGAAGAAGATATTACAAGAGGTTTGCCTGTACTAGATCAGAGAAAGCATGTTATGTACTAGTGAAAACATCTGACAATACCAGCAGTTAGCTGTCATAGGTCACTGGTAATGCTTGCTTGTGTGGGTTCCGGGGTCTCCTTTTGGGGGAGAACCAAAAAAAGAGAACAGACCCATTGCCTCCCTAACTAGTAGCTGTAAAATATGCTTTGATCACACCCAGGTGCCTCATTCCCTCCAGACCATAATAATCTTGTTTTGCTTCTGATTCCGTTGCTTGTTCCCAAAGGGGCCCCACCAGATCTGCCTTGTCATTTATTAATTCACCACCCAATGCAGATCCAGCCAGTCTATTTTCTTTTATGAATTAAAAACGTAAAATGTTCCTTTTTTTTCCCCCAGTTCACATACAAGAAAATTTAGAAGATGACATAGTTAAAGAAGCCCTGAAGAAGGTAATTTGTTGACTAGATTGTGTAATTTACATGTTCAGATTAAAGATTTTTTTGGTGCTGTTTTATTTTACTGTATAAGCAGGGTTGACCCGGCTTAAAATAAGTGGTAGGAAATCTCCTGGAATGTAAAGATGGCTGCCAAGATTATGATCTAATCACACATTAAGTGCTGATTGGCCAATAATAAAAGACTAAATATGAGTGAGAGGCGAGGAACCAACAGTCATAAGCCAAATCTGTCAAACGGGCATGCGTGCAAACCTCAAGTTTTAGGACAAGCTTAAGATCCAGAAGTGGGTGAACAATCAGAACTTTCTGCCAAACTTTACAGCTGGTGAATGAAAAAAAGAAAAAAAGAAGAAGGCCTCTAGTTATGAAAAAGTCCATGTAAATTAGATGTTTACTTCCCCGTGCGACTTCAGGGGCCCGGTTGTGGGGAAAACAAGAACAGACCCACTGCCTGCCCAGAAGCATGTCATGAGAGTGGACTAATTGGGAGCCACCTGCGAAGGTGTACATCTGCCTGAGAGGCATGACCTGGGAGTGAAGCATGGTGAAGTAGGTCTGTGCCGCCTTTGAGGCTGAGATAGGAGGAATTATAACCAGCTCCTCGTGGGAACAATCAGTAGAGGTACCTTTGAATGGCTGCTGCATTCGATTAGTGAACAGGCATGGGAATGCAAGTGTGCAGTAATGTCAGTTGTGATAACATAAACATAACTTTTATTTTAAATGACCTTGGCTTCCGGGCTGAGCCAGCCTTAAGTGGGTCCCAGGTGAAGTCCTGGGAAGTAAAGGTGGCTGGCATGATATTGACTATATCACCCACAGAGTGCATATCGGTCTGTAAAATATTGATCTAGCCCTATATGCCCAGTATGCCTGAAGAGGGTCCAGTATTTTGATGACTGTCTATCAAGCTTATCTGTTATGATCTCATTTTCAGGGTGTTGATTTGAGGCAGTACTCAAAGGAGATTGAGCAGGAACTGCAGAAGGTGGAGAATGAGTCTGTTCAGGACTGTATCCTTCACAGTTTTATTGTTTAATTGTGTTGGATCATAATAATGTTTGAACACAGACCTCATCTGAGACAGTGGTGATGGTGTTGGATGATCCATAAAACTGACCGAAAGGCAAACATGGATAACACATACCCTAAGACAGTGTTTCCCAAACTTGTCTTAGTCGCTGCGCCTTTTTTCAGTTGAAATTTTTCTGCGATGTGCTGACCTAAGTAAAAGTATGACTATTTGTGTGTAAGAGATAAAAAAAAAAAATTTTATGTATCTTCAAAAATGTTGCCGTTGCGCATAGTTTGGGAATCACTGCCCTAAGAAGTAGGATGTGTTGGTCAAAAGGTGCAAATATCACATCTGTGCTTAAACGAGCAAATTATGTCCCTCAGGTGAATGATGAAGAAGAAGTGTAAGATGGTGAACCTTGAATTATGAATTAACTAAATACCAGCTATGACTAGGAAGCCAACAAGGAAAAAAAGACAAGAAAAAAAACTTGTTAGAGGAAAGCTGAATTAATAAAGGAAAGACTCGATAAAGAAAAGACTCATTGATAAAGGAAAGACTCATCGATAAAGTAAAGGCTGTTTGATAAAGTAAAAGCTCGTTGCAGAAAGTTCTGGTTGTTCGTCTACCTCTGGATTGTAGTCCTGTTCTAGAACCTGCAGGCACATCTGTTTTACAGATCAGACCCATATGTATGCAGACTGTTGGTACCTTGCCTCTCAGGCAGATGCATTCAGACTTCACAGGAAGCTCCCAGTTAGTCGACTCTTTTACAACATGCTTTTTGGTAAGCAGTGGTCCCCGTGTATGTTCCGGGACCCAGTTAAAGGTAAAACACGAATAGACCCACTGACCTCATCATGATACCAGTATTTCCATTGTTGGATTCCAGGCCCTGTTTTGGGGGATAACATTGCCCCTCTCCACCCCCCCTCTACCCTTGATAAGTATGTCATAAGAAGCAACTAATTAGGGGTTTGCTGAAATCAGATGTTTTGGACCTAAAGGTGGAGATATTGCAGCCTAGCTGTAAACTACAATACACCGTACCAACGGCCCTTCTAAGGGCGAACAGAGAAGAAGAAAAAGAAGCCAATGCCCTGAGGTGTTGGTAGTCATGTCTGTACACAACCTTCTGTCTTGTCTACCTTCATTCAACTCTGACACAGATGATGATCCATCCCATGATGACAAACTGTCCAGCATCTGTTCTCTCAGTCTCCCTCTGCCTCTCCTCCCCTTCAGCTTTCCTACTGTCACGATGTACTCCACTTTTCTCCTTCTCATCACATGACCAAAGAAAGAAAGATTGTCTCTTTCTGATGTGGGCAATCAGTTCTGTTCATAAGTCAGTTTCTTTTAAGACTTTTTCATTACCTTTTTTATCTGCCCAGGGTATTCTTATCATTCAAATATACCTGCATGATATGGGTACCAAATTTGTATTGATTGTTATAATGGAGATATTTCAAAATTGTGACCATGACAGAATAATTAAAAAAAAAAAAAAAAAGGCAGTTTAGTGAAATATTTGTGTCAACATTAATGTTGGGAAATATTGGAAATATATACCAGCCTCCATTCTTTAAGAGATAAGCATATGCCAGATTCAGTTTCCCACCAGTCTCCCTATCCCCATAGAATACCTTTTTCCTCAGAAGGGTGGTTTGGCCTAATTTTTTGTTTTCTTTTTCTTTCTTCGTTATCTCCGGTCTTGCACTTTATCCACTGTGGGATATCAGCTCACATCTCTTGAGTTTCTCCAAAGCTTAGTTATCTGTTCTACTGGGAGTGGCCACATGCTGCTTCGTGGCTGTTCCAAGAGAGAACATCTTGTAAGACATGGTCTGGTGTCTGTGAATCATGAAGACACTGGCAGAGAGCTGTTTGGCTCATACCTAAAGGAAATCAGTGTTTGTTGAGTCTGCAGTATTCTGTTCATATCTTCTTCTTCTTCTTCTTCTTCCCGGTCACCAGCTGTACACTTGGCGGAAAGTTCTGGTTGCTCGTTCACTACTGAACCGCAGTCCTGCTCCAGAACCTGAGTGTTGCGTGTGCATCAGTTTTACAGACCTCATTCTCTTGAATACAGACTGTTGGTTCCTTGCCCCTCCGGCAGATGCACTCAGACTTCAAAGGAAGCTCCCCAATTAGTCGACTCTTACGACATGCTTTTGGGGAGGCAGTGGGTCTATTCTTGTTTTCCCCACAATGGGGCCCCGGAACCCACACGGGGGAATTATGTTCATGTGATTGAAGAAATCTTTTTCATGGTTTTAACCAGTGTTTGTTTTCCAATGTTGTTGTTATTATTAGTTTTTTGTTTGTTTGAGACCCGTCTGAAATAACAATGTAACAGTTTCTTTGACACAAACCTGCCCAGATATTAAAGAGAGTCACAACATTGCTAGTCTCCACAAACAGATTGCTGCATTTGATACCATATTACAGGTTTGGTTGTTTGTTTGTTTGTGAAGTTCATAATAGTTGTTGTATTTTCTTCTTTTTGGTGTTTACCAGGGCCCTCTTTTGGAGGGGACAAGAGAATAGACCCACTGCCCCTCTAATATGCTTGTCATAAAAGGCAGTTCTTCTTCTTCTTCTTCTTCTCCTCCTTCGCCACGTTCACTGGCTGTAAACTCAGGCGGAAAGTTCTGCTTGTTCATCCACCTCTGGATTTTAGACTTGTTTGAGAACCTGAGTGTTGCGTGCATGTCCGTTTTACACATCTGTCATCTTAGTATGCAGCCTGTTGGTTCCTTGCCTCTCAGGCAGATGCACTCTGACTTCAAAGGAACTCCCCCCCCCCTTCCTTCCAATTAGTCAGCTCTTACGACATGCTTGTTGGGGTGGCAGAGGGTCTGTTATTGTTTTCCCCACAATGATGCTCTGGAATCCACACAGGGAGAAAAAAGGGCAATTAATTAGAGGTGTTTTTGCCAGAGTGCATCTGCCTGAGCTGTGAGGCACCAGCAGTCTACATACATCTAAGCCAGATCTGTTAAATGGAGGAAGTGCATGCAAAATGCAAGTTCTGCAACAAAACCATAAAGTTCTGAAGTGCACAAACAACCAGAACTTTTTGCTGGAGTTTATAGCTGGTGAACGCTAAGGAGGTGAAGAAAGAATCTGCTGGGGATCTCTAACACTCTGTCTTTTACTGTGATTGTACTCTCTCTAATTCATCTGTTTCTTTATTTTGTCCCCCCACTTGTATCACTGTCTACTTCTTGCTCACCTGCCATCAACTTTTTCTTACATTATGGTTTTTACAGCAGTGTTTTCTCATTTAGAACTGGTTGTTTTCAATGTTGTTGCTTGGTGAGTGGTAGGTATGACTAAACTAGGATTCAAATTATTTGCTTTTTTTTTTTTTTTTTTTAAATTTATTTCAACAACCCTCTCTTTGTTCTCCGTCACTGCTAGTTTTTTCAGCGTTTGTTGTTGTTGTTTTTTAAATATGCCTGGGTTTTCTGTACAACAACATCTCTAGAGTCTCAGTGAAACTTTTCTTCTTCTTTATTCTAATTGTTTGTTTATTCTGATTGCTTATTCATTCTTATTGCTGGTATACATAGAATGCAATAAAACAATGTGATCAATGTTGCAGCGGATGGAACAAATGTTGAATGGGTTTCAAGGAGATCTCAGCAGTATTAGTACAGAAATCCAGTCCTTGCAAGACCAGTCTATTGCCATGAATGTCAAGCTCAAGAACAGACAGGTCTGTGTAACAGTATTTACCCAAATTTCCCCCCCCCTCGTGGGGTGAGGAGGAGGGGGGGGGGGGGTGGTGCATCGTGGCAAAATGATCAGCCATTTGCTTCGCTCTGTAAAGGTCACGGGTCATTTCATGATTGTGTCTTTCAATTCACAAGTGCAGTTTTACGGAGACCCCTGGGGATTGTTGCCATAGATACAGAGTTCATGATCTGTGTGACGCTCTCGGTAAGTGGCTTGCCAGGCATATAGGATAAAACCTGGTTCACTGAAGTTGACCCTTTCCCTGTGTGGGTTGCAGAGCACCCATTTGGGGGGGGGGATAAAACCCACTGCCCCCTAACAAGCTTGTCTTAAAAGGCAACTAATTAGGGTGTTACCTTTGAAGTGGGACAAACAACAAGAACTTTCCTCATAAGTTTACAAATAGGGAAGTCCCGTTGCGGGAGGGGAGGCGGAGAGTAGACCCACATGCCTGTCGTAAAATGGCAACTAATTTAAGTTTGCTGAAATTATATATGCTGGCCAGAAAACTGCACATGTTGCAGCTCAGCTGTAAACCATAACACAATCGCCCTTTTAAAGGTTCACCTAGAAGAAGGAGTGAGTCAGGTCTTGGTCAGATATGAACTGAGCTACCATATAACAGTAGCCAGTACTCGCTGTCTACTATTAATGCCAAATGTTGGGCTGCATATACCAAACCTAACATCCAAATATTGTGCCATACTAGCCTTATCCTTTAAGAGGAAATTCAACCTAAAAACTGAATGGTAGGGCAGACCAGGTCCTTAGCCTTGGCTGGCAGCTGGTCTAGGAAGGAAGCTCCGACACGCGGACAGATAGGGCACTGCTCTTCTGATCCTGCAGCTTCTGGAGCCTGCTTTGTTGCAAAACGTACTGGTGGTACCTCAAATTTGGAGTAAATAAGGCAGGTTGAGAGAGTGGTGCATGGGCAACATATAGTCTCTACAGTACTGCCCAGGAGAGGAGGAACTTCACAGCAGTAGTCCTGAAATCCCATGCTATAACTGTGCAAGATTTTTCTTAATGCGGATGGGTCTTGCTAGTCGCATTCACCTTCTTCATAGGATGTGAGTCCCATGTCTCCTCATAGCGCAGTATAGATCTATCATCTGGAAAGATGAAAAGATGCCAGTGAAGAAGAAACATTACTTTTGTGTTTTTTCACTTCTAATTTCAATAGGAAGAACAGACAGGTACTTCTCTGATGTGTCTTCACTGTAAAATGGCTTGTTGCATTCCAGTGACCCCTAAGATTTGTTTTGATGGTGACTTTAGCTACCAGTAGAGTCTGTTGTGTCGAACATTTCAAGGGTTAGGAACCAGACAAAGAGAGATGCAAACCTGCTACCTTGTAGGTATACTGGTTACAGGCAAAACCTCGGACAGATAACTCCAATAAAATGTTTTTTTGAAATTAGATGGGATCAGCTGTATTGCTGACTTGATAAAAGAGTGGAATGCAGCTCCCTTCTTAATTTCAAAATAATGAACAGACGGGTTCATGAAGCCTTTCCAAAAATTGCCTAGGATCCATTTTTATGAGGCTGATTTACCCATAGAGATGTACTGGTATTAACAAATAAATCCTGCTGCGGCTGTTGATTTGAGCCCACTAATGTCTATGTCATTATGACTGCTCTTTAGCCTTTTGTTAAATTAATGTGTCGGTGTCTGTGGCTTATGTGTTTCAAATACGATTAATAATTCCATGGTTCATGGTTTGATCCCAGCTGTGAATGATTTTACAGCAGACCCCCTTGCTTTGCTTCAAACAGTTGTATCGAGAGCTGACTGTTTAGAAAGCCGTGGCAAACTACTGAACCTAAAATTGCATAGGGAAATTACAAACAGTCACCAAAAAAACAAATAACGAACCGAAAAAAAACTACTGGGGTTGGTTCTGTAACATCCTGTAAAGAATATGCAGCTAACTAGACCCCCCCCCCCACCCCCCCCCCACCCCCGCAATTAATTCACTTTCGAAGTAATAGAAATAATGCAAATTTAATCATACGACAATTAAATAGTGATCTGCCTGTTGTGTTTCAGGCTGTCAGAGGGGAACTCAGCCAGTATGTGGATGAGATGGTTATACCTGAGTCAATGATCACGTGAGTGTCTGTTAAACCTGCAGTTTTTGTTCTCATTGAAATCAAGGTATTTAGGTTTTAGAGTAGGTAATGTCACACATCTTTAATAGCAAGGCATTAAAACATAAAAAAAAAAAAAATTATGCCATGCAGCTTTAATCCTATCGCCTTAGGAGCGCTAAGTCTCCATCCCCCCAAAAATCCTGAAAATTTTTGTTTTACACAGGTAACTAAGACATTTTAAAAAAAAGTTAATCTACTTTTAAATAGTTTTGTTGTTGTTGAAATATTTAAAGATATATGGCGGGAGTAAGAGATAAACATGAACAGAGTGAAGCATTAAATTTAATACATTCCCCAAGGCCTTAAAAAAGAAACTCAGTATGTATTGAATGACTCATACCATGACCCTGTGACCTCAATCACTGAGATTTATGAGAAAATGTGATATCAACTTGGCTTTAAAAAAGCCATTGGGGTAAAAAAGAAACCCCTCTAAATGTTATGTTTAGTTAATATACTCACATCTGGGCCTCCTATATACGAAGTAGGTCCATACATAACCAGTGGCATTTAACTACACGCTTTTCGAGAACAGATCACTGCAGAAAGTGTGAACACATTCCAGTGAACAGTACACAGTGAGTTAAGGCTTGTGTCTGGAATTATGTTAATCATGGTAGTGAATGTGCCTAACCATGCTTTGTTTATGGGAATTTATTTCTTTATTATCTGTATATTATATTTTAGAACAATTCTGGAGACCCCAGTGACCGAGGATGATTTCAAAGAGCAGTTGCATGAGCTGAATCACAAAATCAACTTTGTGAAAGAACAGTCCTTCAGGGATGCTAGAGCATGTCTGGATGTGAAAGACATCCTGGAGAAGCTGAAAATCAAAGTGAGTAGAAAGTTAAAGATCAAAACTGTTGGAATATTGAAGATCAGATTACTAGAAGACTAAAGAATAAACTAGTAGAAGACTATGTTTTACAATGCTTTCCTGCTGATGGGAGATGGGAAAAGATACATGGATGATCTAAGGCAGGGCTGTTAGTTTGTGGCCCATGGGTCGAATCCCAGCCTTGGAGATCTAGGAAGTGGCCAGAAAATAATTGCAACTTGTTTTGGACCACTGGCCGGTGATATCCCCATTTTCAACATTTTGGTCTCCAAATGAAGGTAATTAAAAAGCCCTGATGTAAGGAAACACGGAGAAGGAGGATAGAAAGAAAGGCAACTGATGGAATGTAAAATGACATAGGATATGGGGTTGGCAGAACAGCAAACCAGCAGCAGGGGAGATCAATTTTGAATGCCTTATGTATCAACACTGACACGAGAGGACATAGATGGAGAAATCTTACTAGGTTGAATCTACTTTGCCGATCAAAGAGAGGAAATCTAGCTCACATGAACATCTCTGAAAGAGATGAAGAAAGAAGAAAAAGACTGAACATAAAACTGAAAGAAGATTGAAGATAAAATTAATAGAAAGCTGAAGATAAAAATTAATAGAAAGCTGAAGATAAAAATTAATAGAAAGCTGAAGATCAAAATTAGCATAAGGCTGAAGGTAACATTGAGCAAAAAGATAAAGAGCGAAGTTAAAACAAATATTGAAAGTCAAAGTTAGAAAATGAAAGTCATTTTGAGTAAGAAAATGAAGACCAGTATTAGAATAACATTAAAGGTCAAAGTTTGCAGAAGGCTGAAGATCACATTGAGCAGAAAGATGAAGATCACATTGAGCAGAAGGCTGATGATCACATGAGCAGAAAGATGAAGATCACATTGAGCAGAAGGCTGAAGATCACATTGAGCAGAAGGCTGAAGATCACATTGAGCAGAAAGATGAAGATCACATTGAGCAGAAAGATGAAGATCACATTGAGCAGAAAGATGAAGATCACATTGAGCAGAAAGCTGAAGATCACATTGAGCAGAAGGAAGATTCACATGAGCAGATGAAGATCACATTGAGCAGAAGGCTGAAGATCACATTGAGCAGAAAGATGAAGATCACATTGAGCAGAAGCTGAAGATCACATTGAGCAGAAAGATGAAGATCACATTGAGCAGAAGGCTGAAAGATCACATTTGAGCAGAAAGATGAAGATCACATTGAGCAGAAGGCTAAAGATCACCATTGAGCAGAAAGATGAAGATCACATTGAGCAGAAAACACATTGATGAGCAGATGAAGATCACATTGAGCAGAAAGATGAAGATCAATTGAGCAGAAAGATGAAGATCACATTGAGCAGAAAGATGAAGATCACATTGAGCAGAAAAAGATGAAGATCACATTGAGCAGAAAGATGAAGATCACATTGAGCAGAAAGATGAAGATCAGAAGCAAAAGATGAAGATCACATTGAGCAGAAGATGAAGATCACATTGAGCAGAAAGATGAAGATCACATTGAGCAGAAAGATGAAGATCACGATTGAAGCCAGAAAGATGAAGATCACATTGAGCAGAAAGATGAAGATCACATTGAGCAGAAAGATGAAGATCACATTGAGCAGAAAGATGAAGATCACATTGAGCAGAAGGCTGAAGATCACATTGAGCAGAAAGATGAAGATCACATTGAGCAGAAAGATGAAGATCACATTGAGCAGATGAAGATCACATTGAGCAGAAAGATGAAGTATCACATTGAGCAGAAAGATGAAGATCACATTGAGCAGAAGATCACATTGAAGATCACATTGAGCAGAAAGATGAAGATCACATTGAGCAGAAAGATGAAGATCACATTGAGCAGAAAGATGAAAGATCACATTGAGCAGAAAGCAGAAGGCTGAAGATCACATTGAGCAGAAGGCCTGAAGATCACATTGAGCAGAAAGATGAAGATCACATTGAGCAGAAAAGATGAAGATCACATTGAGCATTGAAAGATGAAGATCACATTGAGCAGAAAGATGAAGATCACATTGAGCAGAAAGATGAAGATCACATTGAGCAGAAAGATGAAGATCACATTGAGCAGAAAGATGAAGATCACATTGAGTGAGCAGAAAGATGAAGATCACATTGAGCAGAAGGCTGAAGATCACATTGAGCAGAAAGATGAAGATCACATTGAGCAGAAAGATGAAGATCACATTGAGCAGAAAGATGAAGATCACATGAAGATCACATTGAGCAGAAAGCTGAAGATCCCATTGAGCCGATCACATTGAGCAGAAAGATGAAGAATCACATTGAGCAGTAGGCTGAAGATCACATTGAGCAGAAGGCTGAAGATCACATTGAGCAGAAAAAAGATGAAGATCACATTGAGCAGAAAGATGAAGATCACATTGAGCAGAAGGATGAAGATCACATTAACATTGAGTCAGAAAGATGAAGAGATCACATTGAGCAGAAAGATGAAGATCCACATTGATCAGAAAGATGAAAGATCACATTGAGCAGAAAGATGAAGATCACATTGAGCAGAAAGATGAAGATCACATTGAGCAGAAAGATGAAGATCACATTGAGCAGAAAGATGAAGATCACATTGAGCAGAAAGATGAAGATCACATTTGGCAGAAGGCTGAAGATCAACATTGAGCAAAAGATGAAGATCACATTGAGCAGCAAGAAGAGCAGAAGATGAAGATCACATTGAGCAGAAAGATGAAGATCACATTGAGCAGAAGGCCTGAAGATCACATTGAGCAGAAGGCTGAGATCACATTGAGGCAGAAAGATGAAGATCACATTGAGCAGAAGGCTGAAGATCACATTGAGCAGAAAGATGAAGATCACAGTTGAGCAGAAAGATGAGATCACATTGAGCAGAAATGATGAAGATCACATTGAGCAGAAAGATGAAGATCACATTGAGCAGGAAAGATGAAGATCACATTGAGCAGTAAGCATCACATTGAGGCAGAAAGATGAAGATCACATTGAGGCAGAAAGATGAAGATCACATTGAGCAGAAGTCTGAAGATCACATGAAGAAAGATCACATTGAGCAGAAGGCTGAAGATCACATTGAGCAGAAAGATGAAGATCACATTGAGCAGAAAGATGAAGATCACATTGAGCAGAAAGATGAAGATCACATGAAGCAGAAGGCTGAAGATCACATGAGCAGAAAGATGAAGATCACATTGAGCAGGAGGATGAAGATCACATTGAGCAGAAAGATTGAAGATCACATTGAGCAGAAGGCTGAAGATCACATTGAGGCAGAAAGATGAAGATCACCATTGAGCAGAAAGATGAAGATCACATTAAGCAGCAAAGATGGACGAGCAACATGGAGCAGAAGGCTGAAGATCACATTGAGGAGAAAAGATTGAAGATCACATTGAGGCAGGGGAAAGCTGAAGAGCACATTTGAGGTGAGCAGAAAGATGTAAGATAACATTAAGCATAAGGCTGAAGAATCACATTGGAGCAGAAAGATGAAGATCACATTGAGCAGAAAAGATGAAGATCACATTGATCAGAAAGATGAAGATCACATTGGAGCAGACAGATGAAAGATCACATTGGAGCGAAAGGCCTGAAGATCACATTGAGCATGAAAGATGAAGATCACATTGAACAGAAGGTTGAAGATTCACATTGAGCAGAAAGATGAGGATCACATTGAGCAGAAGGCTGAAGATCACATTAAGCAGAAAGATGAAGATCAATTGAGCAGAAAGATGAAGATCACATTGATCAGAAAGTGAAGATCACATTGAGCAGAAAGATGAAGATCCACATTGAGCAGAAAGATGACGATCACATTGAAGCAGAAAGAGGAAGATCCACATTGAGCAGAAGATTAAGATCACATTGAGCAGAAGATAAGATCACATTGAGCAGAAGGCTGAAGATCACATTTGAGCAGAAGATGAAAGATACATTGAAGCCAAGGCTGAAGATCCATTGAGCAGAAAGATGAAGATCACATTGAGCAAAAGATGAAGATCACATTTGGAGCAGAAGATGAAGCTCACATTGAGGTCAGAAATATGAAGGAGCACATTGAGCATAAAGATGAGATCACAGTGAGCAGAAGATGAAGATCACATTGAGCCGAAAGATGAAATCCATTGAGCAGAAGATGAAGGGATC